TTTGGGGGGGTGGTTAATATAATGAGAAATAGAACAACGCCTAATGATAAATTGGTAATTGATGGATTTGGTTCACCAAACGGTTTCCAAGCTAAAAATGCAAATATACCGGCTACCAATAGAATCAAATTGAAGCCAGCAAATGCTTGCAATACAAATAACATAATATAAGAACGTTGAGGTGGTAGTGTGATCTTATTCAAACCATATTCCATCTGAGCTTGCTCGGCGTGTTCGTTGGTCAAACCCTGTGTGGAATCCGTATGAAAACGACTGTATAGATCATTCGGCGGTATGATATGCACGTCATTGTCTAACGTTGATTTATCGATATTTGCAAATAAATCTACTGTCGAATCTGTACGAGGTTCTCGAATTTCAATCTGAACAGAGGCTTGTCAATCGGGAATACTTAGGATAGCTGGCATATTCGACTGTTGAAGAACATCTTCATTGGGCATTCCTACTTCATCGGACGTTCCTTGTGCATCAGACGTTCCCCGTTCATCGAACGTCGCACCCTTGTTATCCATTTGTTTTCCTTGTTTTCCGTGCAATGAAGAGGATATAGAATATACAAGAATAAATACTACAATTTAGATAGGGAAAAATCGAGAATATCCCTACAATTCACGCTTCTTAATTGATGAGATTCTAAATACTGTTCTCTAAACACTGATTCTAAATCCACTCGAGTAAGTCCTAGTCGTCGAGGATGCTCGCTATGACATCGCACCGTAGGAGCGCTAATCACTGATGCAGCAGTATATTTGCAGAGTCTAGTATGGTTAAAATTTATCAGTTCTGCAATTATCATTGTTGAAGAAAAATGACGTTTCTACACTCTGACATATTCTGCTGTTACCTATCTCAAAAACCGATGTATCAACTATTTGTATCAAATTTTTTAGTAGATTATTTGTATTTAACTGTATATTTTCTATCAATCATACCATGAATGTCAATAGTTTTTATATTTGTTATACTCGCAATAACATTCAAAACAGAATTAAAACCGTGTTTTATTTAGTTTTACAAATCAATATACATATTATTTCACTAAAATAAAGTTTTATTAGCGAAGATCGCCGTGGTCCACAGGAATACACCGAGTGTGATTGGTTTTAGCGATTCCTTCTAGTCACGCTGATTCAAATTGCTCTTTCGGGATTAACTCTGCGCTCAGGCGTATTATTAGCGAATATAAACGTCATTTTCCTATGTTTCAATAGTATTTGGAAGAGATGCGATAACCTAAACAAAACGTTGAGTTTTGATAATTTTAGAAATACTGCGAGAAGTCTAGAAAAAAAGCTTGTTCTTACTTCTTTGATGTTTATTAGGTTGCTTCAGTGACTTTGAAAGCGTCATTTAAGCACTCTTAGCACCTATGTGTGAGCGTTCTTTGAATACTTGTGACGAAATCTGTCCTCGGTGAATGAGGAGCAAAGAATACAAGCGCTCTTTTTGAATGAACTATGAAGGATCTGAAAGATGTCATCACACATATTAGTCGCGTCATTGCCCAAAGTAGAAGTTACAAGATCTGTGTTTCGGACAATTGCGGTTATAGTCATTACGCAGAAATCGATATGGATTGCGTTAGAAAGAGGTGAAGCTTTTCCAATAAAAAGAAGAGATAACTCTTTTCGCTTCGCCTAATTATAACCCTGAAGGCATAGTTGCATTTAAGTGTTAGCTCAAAAATTTCAGAAAAACATCGTTCTGCCAGGATACATATGAATACATCATTCATACAGGATACAGGATACATCATTCATATGAAAGTGTATAAAACAATTTTGTTCTCTCTCTACTACGGATAAAGAAATGAATTGACGTAGACAAGAAAAAATAGACTTTATGAATCAAAAATCAAATAGTTCTCTCCTTTTCGTTATATAAATGAACAATCAAGTTCAGTTTCATCGAAAAAGACGAGAACATCGTATGATGTCAACATACGGTAGTTTATGACGAGTCTAATCCATTCGCAATAACTGTTAATAAGAAAACAATGATATCTAATATGGAAGTGTTACCTACCGAAATCTTAATAGAAATTTTGAATTATTTATCGTCCGTCGACATATTCTACTCATTCTTAGATTTAAATATGCGTATATAATGTATTAAAACAAATAGTTTCAGACACACAACTTCATATAAAACATTTTTGTATTACTTCAACAACATCAATTCAAAAATAAATCATTCTATATCAACAGTTATACTCACTGAAGATACAGCAACAACAACAATTTTCCGTTTCTGGTATGATGATCCATTATTATTTCCAAATCTTGAAAAATTACCTTTGATAAATGTTATATATGAGCCAATGTATTTTTGGAAATTTCTAAAAATGCTAGAACAAAACTTAATGCACGTTGTTGAATTGTATATCGCAGTTAAACAACCGAGTGAACGTTATTATTACACAATTTGATATATTTTAGAAAATAATCGATAAATAAATTTAAGAAAATGACATTTCAGGTTGACTACGATAATCTTGCAAGTACAGAACCTAGTAGCGCTCTTTCTCTAAAGACTTATTACATTCTGATCATGAAATCCTTCTCAAGCTGTTTTTGGTCAGAAATTTGGTGCTTATTTTATAATACAGCCATTAGTGTTATTGTTGATTACCAGCGAAGATGCACATGTTAAACCAGATCCCTCTTCCTAGTTGTAAATCTAGAAGTGGTCAGCAGTAGCAATCAGGAGTATAGTCGACCTTTGTTATGTCATCTTTTCGTTGTTTTGACATTTGTTTTGGTTGCATGAATGAGAAAATATCTCATGTCTCGATACCAAGTTTAAAAACTATAGAGCACTACGTTTAAGGGTGATCTTTTATTTTCTTTGCTGAATCTTTTTTTATTCTTATGATGAGCCATCATCAGCTTATTTCAAAGCTTTGAAACACTGTACTGTGTCACAAAAGATCTCATCAAAAGTAAATCACCTCAAGTAATGAAGTTGACCACACTTATACGCGGTATATATGTGTCCGATTTTACAGTCATCATGTGAGAGAATCATACGATAGAATAATATTGTTGACGCCGTAGACCTAGCCATCACAAGTAAGTCTGTTTGTACGTGACCTATAGTAGGAGCTTAACTGTTGTTTAAGAATAAAGTGCTTTTTTCCCGAGCGCTCTTGGGAATTGGGTAAAAGAACTGGTGATCAGTTATATTTCTTAGCAACCGCGCCTGTTGTATCTAGTTCCAGTTCCTAACAATACACTGGATCGAGTTTTGTGACATCATCAGTGACGAACTGTCTGGCTGCGTTGCACAATGCTTGTTAATTGTACAGAATGGAAAAAACTATATGCACCAGAACAGTATCTTTATCAGTCAGTGATACAGAGAACTGTTTATTGCTGTTTAATAGTTCATTTATTCGACCAGAAGGTTGTTATTAGGTTCCATTAAAGACTTTTTTTATTTAGATGAGTACATTTACCGCTACTGTGATGACAGCAATAGTGACAATAAATTTAGTTATATTAATGATAAAATGGTGTTAGATAATGCAATACGTCTAACATTATTGTTAAGAAACTGCGCTGATTTAGTTTTTTTATTACAAAATATTGGTTTTCCAAAATTAGAATATTTATCTGTTCGAGTTGACTATTATATTAATCATATAAACTTAAACATCGAAACTGATTTTCGTGAAAACAATACATTGAAAATACATCTTCCTCTAATCCAAGTGTTAAAATTAAAAAATATTATGTTCAACGATGCAGGAATGTGTCTTAGACATTTCCTGTTGAAAAAACTTGAAAAATTATCATTGATAAATGTATATAACAATCATTGTGAGTATCGTTTATTTTATTCTAGTTCACTTGTTTTACTCTCCATGCCTAGACGTACGTCATAAATATTCTACGAAGTTTTCTGTTATGTTCATTATGTTACGCTTAGAAGAAAATAGACACTCTAGCAACGATCACTCTGAACTATGATTTTTGAAAAGATAAAGTCTTCACCTCGATGTAACTCATTTACTAACTATGGTAGCTTAGCAAATAAATCCTATCGAATTTGCTTTGTGTTTATCTATATATCTCACTGGTAAACCGAGGTGTTCCCCTCAATGGAGAATCTCCGAACTATCGAACAAATTTTCTTTGATAATCGGTTAGAAAACTGCTTTGCTATGAATACTTGAACACTTTTTTTGTATTCCGTTATTTTTTCCCCGAAAAAACAAATTGAGATTATTGAGTTTAATGTAGAGAGCTTTTAGAATTAACGAAGAATAATCTTCTTATCCAGTCTTATTGTGTGTGCAATAATTCTTCCCTATTCTTCTGAGCTAGAAAAGATTTCATTTTTGTTTTGCAACAATTATTAATGAAGAAAGATGGGAAGAAATTTTGAAAACATGTTTACCATATTTACGTCAGTTCAGTTTCACTATTCTAAGTTTTAAATGTATTTTAAGCAATACTGACAATATTTTACAATCATATTGTACATTCTATTGGTTAATACAAAATTGGCGGGTAAGCTATTATATGGACCAATACATTGAAAGAAAATGGCCACAGCCATCATACAACGATACATTAATACTTTATACTATGCTGTACGATATCAACAATGATCGTGAATTAAATAATCTGTATTTTTTGAACAGAATCAATAAATCGTTTTACTATGTCACAACTCTAGAATGAAACTATGATTTAGACAATTTAACGTTTATGTATCAAGCATTGAATCTGTTGACCAATTTACGAACACTTTATCTAAATTATTGTACAAAGGTATTGTGTTTATTTTTGTGACGTTTCTGCTTCTCCACATAATTCAGAGAATGGAAATCTTTGTATATAAGCTAGATTCATTCAAAAGATAGGATGGATAAAAATTTCGTTCTCATGAGTACGTTACAATTATTCTTTAAGTGAAGTCAGAAGTGTCTGATATTTCTTAGCTTCGTTAGAAATAACGTATGAAGCAGAAGTTTTACATTTACTTTGTTTCTTCTGTATTTTAGTGTGGAAGGATTGTAGAATGCCAATTAATTTTTCAAAAGATAGATCATAATGCCTTTTATAAACTTTGTTTGTAACGGATTTCAATTGCACAGAGTGATTTGATGCTACGCATCAATTACTCTGACTACTTAGAAGGACGTTTGTAACATACGTTAATGCATAAAGTTTTGAGGTTTTTCAAAGAGTATAGAGATTGATCATAAAAAGTCTAGTTACATAGTTTGATAGCTCTTTTTAAGGACTTTTATAGTATACAAATATTTTTTGCAGTCCACTTCTTTTGATAAAAAAATATCATCAAACTGATTTTAATCCAATATTCTCCAAGTTTTGAATAATTTTAAATTTTGGCTAAAATAATATCCAGTTAATTTTTATGTGCATATGAATGCTTGAAAACGATCTTGTTTACACAAGCGTTTGTTCCAATTGATCTTTTTTCGTCAATACACTTTTGTGAGCCTTTTGTATCTATGACTCAAAACCTAATACGAAGCAGAATATCGTTTTCTTTTTTTTGTAATTTTTTATCAATTTGTATAAAACGAATTTTTGAGAAAAAATCATCCGAACTGATCTTCTATAGTGTGATGGTTTGCTAGAATAGAAGCAGACAGTGCGAAATAAGATTTTCTGATTAAGGAAGCAGATAGGTAAACATAGACATAAAGCAGAAAATGAAATCTGCTTGTTGGTAAGTTTGTTTTAACAACATCATTGTATACTTCTGAGAGAGAGAGAGAGGTTTGTGGAACTGAGTTTAAAGAATTGTGCTTGAAAATAACAACTTATGATTAATTAAATACTGTCATATGTAATTTTCATTTTAGGAATATCATTCCATGGATTCTTTGATGGAAAATGACCGTTCACCATCTCCTACTCTTAAATTGTGTGAACTAAATATAACATTTAGTAAAGAAACTAGTCTAAATCAACAAACAGCCGTTACTCGATATATATTCTTAAGGACACCACACCGTATTTGAAGAAACTAGTTTTGAATATAAATAATTCAGAATATTTTTTTGGAAATGATCAAAATAATCCCGTTATATTTAAGAATATAAAACATTTAGAATTAACTAAACCACGTGCTACTGAATATGATACAAATAACCTTGAAAATATCATTAAAGTATTTCCAAATTGAAATTATCTTGTGTTAGGTACATGTCATTTTGTGTATGATCAAGTCATACCATTAATTACACAATTAGTTAAAAATTTAAAATATCTAAATATTTTATATATCAATAAATATTTGTTGCGCTCTGATGACGAAATAGATATGATTAAATTAATACCAGTTTTAGACAATAAATAATGTGTCGTATCGTACCCAAGACGGACTGCACTGATGATATGGCTTTAAATGAATGTTCAACATACTAGTGTTTCAATTTATGAGCCTTCCGTCCAGCATCAAATAAAACTTCCCTTTAGTTATACTAGATCTTATAAATATTAGCGAAATATTTGCACTTATTTCATTTGTATATACCCCTGGAAAGCAAAAGCTGGATTCAGTATTTGAGCTCTTTTGATACCATAAAAAGATGTTTTGAGAAAAGTGAATATACCATTAGATAGCGTGTGAAATTCTGTACAAAACTGTGTATTTTGATTTTATCTTGACTTCATGTATTGAAAAATAAATCGAGTGAAATGAAGATGCCCTCAAGACGAGATTCTCAAACGCCTATATTTTTCACCATCACTAGTCCTCTCGCTTTGTTGCTCTTAAAAGTATATAGATTCATAGAGAATTTGAAGCACTATCAGAATCTATAATTTTCTTTCTTAAAAATTTATTACTATAGTGGCTGAATTTCGCAAAAAGGAGAAAAAATAGATTTTTGGTTCTTGTCAACTACAATACGCTCACTGAACACTCGAATTTTTTTTTAATTGATAGATGTTAGAAAATAAGTTAATATACAGGGTTATAGAGGATTTCCAGGGCTATCAGAATATCTACTTACCTTTTCAAAAGACCACTGCTTAAGACATAATCTATCTGAAGTATTAATTGGAAAAACGGTGAAAAATACAGGCGTGTGGGAATCTGATCTTGAGGGCATCTTCATTTCACTCGATTTATTTTTCAATACATGAGGTCAAGATAAAATCGAAATACACAGTTTTGTACAAAATTTCACGCGCTATCTAATGGTATATTCACGTTTCTCCAAACGTCTTTTTATGGTATCAAAAGAGCTTAAATACTGAATCCAGCTTTTGCTTTCCAGGGGTATATATGAAAATAAACATGTTTTAGGTACGTGCTTTTTTTTCTATTCCGTTCAATCACATCTTGTTTTCTTGTATCCAAGAGTCCCATTTTCGATTTTCCGTTTGTGCAAAGTACTTGATGAGAAAAAATAAATAAGAAAAAGCAGATATGAAGAAATGTTCTTAAAAAATGTTTTTAAAAGTACGATAAGTATCAAAATCAATACAACAATTAAGCAAGCCACTATTCGCAAATAGGAGGAAGCGCAAAATGCACTTAGTTTCTCTATATGAATCCACTTTGCAAAAAAAAAAATCTCAATTAACCTTATTCAGAAAATTTCATTTTTATATCAAAAAGATATTGACTAATCGAATTTAGAAAAAACTCATTTTTCCAGAGGGAGAGGTATTAATTAAATTTGAGTGTAAATAATATAGACTAATAGTGAGAGAAAATTATTGTGGTAGATGAAAATTGGAATACCGTTTTTATCACTTTGTCATCGATAATTTGTGGAATCGGTATCTTAATATACATTTGTGTCTCATTTTTCATTTGAACTATTGCGTCTTGTACTGTGGCCTCTCTCGAGAGATTTGATGGATGTGCATGTAACAGTTTGTCAGTATGTGTGAGAATATGATTATCTTTCGGCTGCACCATTACGTGACATGATTTCCTAAAATAAATATCAGCCTTTGTAGACAGGCATAGTATGCGGACTAAAAGTAATTAGGATATTAGTACTCATATCCATCATGATTTCAGCGTACACGAGTAGAGAATAATATCGGTTCACCTGATTATTATGATGGAAATTAATAGATCAGAGATGTTAATATCGTAAAAGTAGCACTAATCCATGTCTTTAAAAATTCTAAAGTTGTAGAGAATCTTTACACAGAACAGTAGTAAAGACAATGATTTCACATCATTATTCCTTTATTCCTTCATCCTGCATTTATAAGAATAAAAATCTAAATTCTACAAATCTTAAAATATAGTATTCTTAAAATCATACAATTCTAACATTCTTCAATTATAAAAATCTAAAATTCTCAAAAACTAAAAAACTCATTAGTCTAAAATTTTATTACGTCTAAGTAGTTGCGCAAGATAAAAGTCACATTTGGTAAAATTTTAAAATTCATGGAAGCACGGTATAGTGCCCTTTCTCTGTTTCCTACAGTCCTCCACTATATAATGTCAAAAGACAAAACATTATGCTGCATGTGATAAAACATAGCTTTGCTAAGTAGCATTAGCTGAAACAAGCAAAACTTTATGTGAAATCTTCATGCAAGGGGTTAGTGGATCGGATCGATGAACAAACTCTTAAGATATTCCCATACTCGATAGATCGTAGAATTTGGAAACTAAGGTAGCCGGATATTCCAAAGTATATAGTTCGGAACCCACCTGGACATCAAAGTAGAACAAAAAAAAAGAAATGAGTCCTAATGCGGTTAGCGACTTGCGTTTTACTCGCTCCATACCATTAACACGTTTTCTTGAGAATTCTACTATACATAACTTTAGTAACTCAGATTTCCATAAAAGACAGACTTTAACCTTTGCGTTGTAATAGGAACTCTCCGATTCATTAACAGTATTCTCGAAGATCTCCTTGAAAAATATACAAACATACATCGTGCATATCCATGTAGTCACACCAGTTATTCCAGTCCGTCGTAGACTGTTAATGTTAAATCAATGGTGCACAAATAGTTCGTTGCTCTTACAATTTATTTTTTCTTCATGATTTGAAAAAAATGTATATATCTGAAATATGCATGTACGAAAATAAATCATAATACTAAGAAAAAGTTGAATAATGAAATTTTCTTGGATAATTTATATAGATGCGCCAAATCACTTGTACGAAGTGATTTTCTCTATCCTTTCAGTTGTACGCAAGTGATACGTAACGATTATTTGCTACAATTGTTTCTTTCAATTAAATAACTGAATGGTTAAGGGTCGTCACTGAGAATGCCTACGGCACACACAGAAATACTTGGAATGGGGTTCTAAGAAAGTTTGTTCAAGATAAGCTGAAGATCTTGAGAATAGGAAAAGTCGCGTATTGTCACACCTGCTTTGGACTATGGCTTGAAGCTGCACTTTGTGACAGGTTATTGAATTTTTTCGAAAGCAAATTCTGACACTAAGGAGAAAAAGTAGTAATAGAATTCTTATATTTTCCGTGTCATTTATACACTTGCGCAAGTGTAAAACAAAAGAGTAAATGAAAGTGGAGTGGTTAAAGCTTATTACTATCTGAAACTGTAAGATCTTAGATTATTTTATCAGAATCTTCGAGGATAAGATTCTGTTAGATCCAAGTAAGATAATTTAAGAAATGTTTAAGATTTTTACTAGAGATGTGTCATCGCATATAAGTGATTTTCTTTGTTTGCAATTTTTCAAAAAACAGAGTGAAGAGAAAAAGTTGTACACTATCTCTGACTATATGCATCTGTACAACTGTAATTCAAAAGTACAAAACGTCCATACATACACTGCACTTCAATTTCTCTTTACCGTATACTCAATATGTCAACAAAAAGAATATTTAATGTGACGCTCAATGATCCCACGGTTGCAGATGGCACAATATCCACAACAAATGTGGCAAGTTGCTTAGTGTTTGCTGTATTTTTATCTAATAAAAGAATCATGATGTCTCATTTATCATCTGAATATTTATCTTCGGTTGTACGCCTTATTTATGATCAAACAAGTGAGTTAATCGAGAATGTCTAACTGAATCAATGAATTTTGATGATGAAGCACCGGTACATGTTTGTATACTGAGAGGATTAAAGAACGATCTGCTGTTAAGGCTCACAGGAAACACTATTCGTGCTTTAAAAGCTAATTCAAATGCACAATTGACGGAGGATGGCAAAGAGTCTGGTATCACCGACGAGAAACGGAGGCGTGTTTTAGATGCTATCAAATATATTGATTGTGGTTTAAATGAATTACCAATTGTAAACAATGGTAGGGAAGATTATTTATGGGGATCAACAGTGCTTGGTGAAAAAGATAATGATAGTACTTCCAAAATTTTTGTTTATCAGTATGCAGTAAGAAAGATTTACAACTATGAAAAACGTCTCATTACAGTAATAATGGTAAATTTAATAGCTGACGATACAAAACAATATATATTTCAATATGAGGGAAACGATATTTATTATAATCGTATGGTATCAACCGCAAAAGATTATAAAAATGATACATTGAGCACAATTCAAAAATTTATAATATCATCTATTTACGATCATGAAATAATCCATGCACTAAACTTACTATCACAAATTAATATGAACTGATAAGAACTCACATACAACCAACATTACCGACTATGCTCTATTTTCCATTCATTTCATCTATCCCCATTTCCCATTCACTTCGCTCTATTTTTATAGTTTCACTCTCATCTAAATAAAACAAACTTGTACTTTTTGCTCAAGTCTATATCACACATCAGATATAAAGAATAACTTAGCTGTTGGTTTTTCTACAATCTAGCATCAGATACAAAAGTTTGGCTGATTGTATTAGGTTGAGGAAAAAGTTCGTGCGCCGTGTTAAAATAATGATTTTTTATATATTTTTTTTTGTGTTTTTGATCTGGTTTTGTGGCTATTATGAAAATTTATTGATTTTTTAAGGTGTCTGAT